AAAATAAAAAATAAAAGTGATCCCAAACGGCCTTTTAGTAATCAATCATTTTTTTGTATGTTCTACAAACCAGCTTTATCTTCTGTATTATAAGGACAAAGCTGATAATGTTATATTCCATTGCAGGCAATGGTTGATGTTGCAAAAACTGTTGGCGCAGATGCTGTATCGCATGGATGCACAGGGAAAGGAAATGATCAGGTTTGTGGATTTATTTCTAATACTGGAATTTGCATCTTTTTATTACGTTTACTTACTTTTTTAGCTTCATTTTAGGTACGATTTGAGCTTACTTTCTTTGCCTTGAATCCTGAATTAAAAGTTGTGGCCCCATGGAGAGAGTGGGAAATCCAAGGGAGGGAAGATGCTATTGAATATGCAAAGAAACACAACATTCCTGTGCCTGTTTCTAAAAGGTCAATTTATAGTAGAGATCGTAACCTATGGCACCTCAGTCATGAAGTAAGAGCCAAACCTTTTTTTACAATGTTCAATATTTACTTCTAATCAAAATATTTATGTAGTTCGACAATTTTGTATAATGTTCCCTTTCCTCAACATGGTTCTCTTTGTAAATTGTTGATTGGTATTGAGCTTATTAAATTTAAGTTTCCATCTACACTAAAAATTACACAGCTAAGCTTTGCAAAGTTCAATTTAAAGTTATGAGCAATTGTTATATAATGAGGTATGTTATAGGAAAGAATAAGGTTGTTTGTGCACACGTGTTTTTGTTATCTATTTTTGGCACTGATCATATTAAATTTTAGTTTCCAACTACACTAAAAAATATTCAGCTAAGCTTCCCAAATTTCAGATTTAAAGTTATTGTTCTATAATCAGAAATGTTATAGGAAAGAAAAAGATTGTGTGTGCGTGCGTGCGCACGTGTGCACGTGTGTGTGTGCATGTGTGTTTGAATCAATTTAATTTTTAGCTAGGTGGATTCACATTTGATGCACTTTTTGTGCTAAGAGAATTTAAAGAACAAAGATAGAATATTAATATTATTTTTACTCATTTCAAGAAGGTGTACAATTGGACATCATGTGATTTGGTTTTATGTGGATTAGCGAAATATATCAAAGCTTGCATTGAAATTATAAAATGTAGGTATGATGGAGTGCTGATCATTACAAGTTATTACTGAGTCACCTAGGAGTTTTTTTATCTTTTTGACTTGGTTATGGTGATCAAATGACATTGTAAATGAGATAAGTATATGTTTTCTTAAAATTACAGTTCTAATCGGTGTGCCTTATGTTGAAATAAGTAAGAAGTTTGAAAAATGTATAAATTACATGAAATATAATGGGCTTAGATGAATATTGGCTATATGCTATATAATTTTAGTGGGTTTGATTTAATAGTTATCAATTAGTATCAATAGTAAGATGTGGTGATTTCTTGGTGTGATAAGTCTAATATTTTAGACCTATTATATGCAAAAAAGGAGATAGATGGCGATTGTTTCCAGAGTTAAGATTAGGTGATTAAAGTAAAGATGTAATAGGACAACATTATGGAAATATTAAGTTTTTTGTTTCAAATTTCAGTTTGGTCAAGTTGTGTGGATATGAGTTTTAGGAAGTGAACAAGTCATTAAACTTTTAAAATTTCAATATTTTAACACCCTATATTAGCATTCAGTTGTGCAGGAACATTTAGGGTTCATAAAGTTGGCCAATGCTAACGAGGTCAAGGATCTTATTATCCCCGTATATGTTTTGTGTTGCTTGTATTTTTAGCATGAATAAAATATCATTAATTTCAAATTAATTTTAAAATATAAAATAATGAAAATTTTCTATTGTTAGTTTAATTATTTGTAGTGTAAAGCATACAAAGAAAAAATTCATAATATTGTTGTAACCTAACTTTCTCCACAATATTTTTTTATTGAATTAGTATAACAAGAAACCAAGAACAAAACCCAAGTCGACATTTGTTTAATTATTCATCATAGGAATATTATCAACTGGTAATTATTCAAAACATTTATTTACAAAATGCTCAATTGATTCTTTAACTACATATGTGATTGGTTCATATTCACATTTAGAAGTAGAATCCATTTCTATTCTAATTTTAGATTCAAATTATGCCTAATTTTAGTTTCATCTTCTAATGGACTATTGCTCTAGATAGATTTAAATTCAAAACATAATCTAATGCTTATGTAAATTCAAAATTGAAATTATCAGATGTAATTTATGCTATAACTAAAAATTATTGTGTTATCTGTTTTTTCTGTCGGCCAACTTCAATTAGAGATGATTCATGTGTTGATGTATTTTTAATTTGTTTTGGACGCATTGTTTTCTCAACATGGGAGGAGTTGTAATATTCTTAAATATCTAAAGCTATGTATAAAAGACTTATGCATCAATTCTTTTTATGAATTCTTACTTAATTTGCTCTGTAAACAATACTAAAAAATAACCAAAGCTAAGCTATTAGGCCTATAAATGTTGCATACGTAAATCTTATTTCCAATTTTTAATATGATAAAGCAACTGATTTTTAAATTCCTCATGCGTCAAACATTACTTTTAAAATTTATATTTCATACTAACCTATGATGATTAGTAGCAACACTTCACCAAAATCATTGTGCATGTTTCTCTAGTTTTGCTTTGGCACGTTCATCTCTTTCAGAATTAAATGAAGAGTAATTTTTAATAAAATCTTCTGTAATTCATTCATCCTAAATAGTTTTTATGTTAGTGAATTTATGATGGGTTAGATGAATTTCACATTGATAATATTAATGTTAAAGGATTATAAAGGAAACTCATTACACCTATGGCAACATTGACAAAAGATATTCAAGAAGTTGCGCACAAAATGTATATCACACCTCATGCACACTCAGTAGTGCTATCGAATAAAGATTTATAAAGTCTATCTTAAATAGTTGCGCTTATGCTGATCATGGCATTTTTCATGTATTATTTAAGAGGTTATAAATGTACGTAAATATAAAGATAAAGAAATTTGATTTTGTATTACTCATAATTGTTGTAATTGGTCAAGTATCCCCAATGGTTTATTATTTGGATAAATATACTCAAAGGTTCATTTGGAATTCTTCTTTTTCACTAAAATACAAATTACAGCTTTTGACCAAAGCCTCGTGTGAATTTTTGAACAAGGGAGGTGCTTTCCTCCCAACAACTCTATTTCTTATGATCTCAGAACTCATGTGATTCTAAGTGAAGCTTCACAACTCTATCTTCACTTTCCAACCATCATCCATCCAAGGTTAGTGGTATTATTTGTTATTTAAATTCGATTGCATTCATTGCTGACATTTATATGTTATAATAGGACAATGAATAAAGAAGAATCATGGTTTGAAATAAATGAAAAAGGCACAAACTTATAATATAAATTTTGAACCTTGTTTGCACACTCAACCATAAACGCTAAATTGCATAAGACATCATTTTAGTTGCTAAATTAGTGTTAAAACTTGTTTGAAACCTGTTTGAACAAAATTTGAAACCTTTTGTTTGGTCCTCATTATATTATATAAAATCGATTGATTTAAGATGCTTACTATTACGATTATATTATATAAAATCGATTGATTTAAGATGCTTTGCTATATATGCCGTAACCACTCTAATCAAATTTGTAGAATACTATTACATTTTGCTTGGGTCACACATACAATTATTGTTGTGATGTATGAAGTTGTTACTTAATTTGAGATTTTTGATCTTTTGAAAATAATCAAGGGATTTTTAAATAAGCAACTTTGCAAAGCTCCTTGCATTTCTTTGGTGTCGTAGTTGACACTTGAGTATGATGATGAGAATGAAAGACGCTCCATTGTATTCAACATTAGAGGTAAGAATACATGATTGAGAGCTGTTGAATTACTTGGTCGGAGTTCAGATAGTTTTATTTGAGGAATTCAAAGAGAAAATACAAACCTGGAGAATGCATTCATATTATGCAATGAAAGAGATGTTATATGGAAGTTAGGTTTATGTTGGTCTGTGAATGGTGTTCTACTCAATCATAATAAGCACAATTTATTTTTATTAAGATGTTTACATTGATTGAAGATGAAGACACATTTTTGGGATACACACAGGGTAGGCAATTATGGAAGAGGACTTTGGAAGGGCTAAGTAAGAATATGGTTCATTATGAGGCTATAGAATACCAATGCAGTATACTGTCACTAAATAAGCCATATTGTTGCAGTATTGGATTCATGAAACCATCTAGGGTGGAAATGTGTGGGGTAACTTAAAGAGGCATTAATGATGTTGAGCTGGAAGAGCAATAAATGCTGATGGGTAAAGACATTTTGTCATTTTTTATTAATATTCATGTAAGTGTTACTTTGAATATTGTATTTAAGTGTTAATATATATTAATTATTCTTGTAAATCAACTTTCAAGGTTGCTCTGAATATTTTCTTATAGATGATTGTTAAGCTTATACTGTTGCATAGAGTAGGAGGAGGATTTCTAAAAGCCCATAATATTTTCTCTTTTTTTTTTTGAAGTGAGTTGTGAAAACGGTGACAATCACATCTTTTATAAGCGAATGTAGTGGTTATATTGGGTAAAAGCAGAAGAGTGAGTTGAAGAACAATTAGTGGGTAGTCAGCACATTTTCTTCCTCAATCAATTAAAGTAGCTTTTTGCAGTTGTAAGGGAGTTGAATTGCAAGCTTAGATTTGAGAATAATTAGCTGATTTTGGAGTAGAAATTGAATACTCTAAACAATTTTGTCTAGAAATTTTTACATAAAAAGGTGAAAGAGAATAAACTTGTGTATTGTGCTAGATTGTTGAGTAAGAAGGAGGATAGCGAGGAGATCTTTATTACTGACTCAACCATTCATACTGCTATTGAGGATTAGGGTGGAGGATGACAATATGGAGGTCCTTATTATTGATATTTTTATTCTTTTGGGGACTAAAGGTGATGTGTTGTAGAAAGAAAGAGACATTTATCTATCTCTTGCTATTTTATGTATATATAATGTGGTGAAGAAAAGGGATGTTAGCTCATATTTAGTTATTTTTCCTATATTCATGAGTCATTGATCCGCTTTTAAGAATAAGAAGTATTTGATTAGGGATATCACAATTCTATCAGGCATGTGGCACAAGCCTTTTGATCCATGTGCTATTGATTACTTCTACCCTATTAATGAAGAACAGTGGTCTTACTTTATGTTTGAAGGTTAGGATTGGAAGACAACTCTATTGAGAGGCAGATGGAAGTGGGAAGCGGAAGCACATCATGGATTCAGTAGTTAAATATTCTCATAACATAATTAGATAGGAAAGTAACTACTCTAGTACTCCATTTATGGTATAGGTTTATGTCTTATGATTTTATTTTATTGCTCGCCACTACTTCAGGTGGCCTGAATCTACATTGTTGTACGTCATTGGAGATGAACACAAGTTTCTGAGATCATGGGCTGATGCAATATATATATATTATATGTGTTCCAATGAAATGGAACAAACTATATTGGATATTATGTCAGATATCTTAGTCTGTGAAGACTAACTTTGTATGACTAACCCCTCTTGCATATTGCTTTGTAAGCAGCAGTGAGTTTGTTCTATATGTACCTAAATTATTTAAGTTGTTAGAGTTATTTGACTATAGGCCGCTTTTCTTATTAAAATCTCTTTAAAATTGGAGGACGGCCAACGTTGATTGGGTTTTTAAGTTTGTTGTTTGTTTGACATATTAACAAGAATTTGTGTAGTACTTTTACATATTTGAACTAATGAGTGATTTTTCTTATTTTATTTGCAACAAAGATTGTGAATTATGCGCAATACAATATATTATCTACCTAAAATCAAAGAAAGATCTTCTGGAATTTGCACTTGATTTTATATTATTCTACAAAAATTGGCTATAAGTAGATTTGTTTTACATCGATATAGAGACACCAGTACATATTGGATGTATCAAAATTATATATTATTGTGTTGTTGTTATCTGTGATTGCACTTTAATGTATCAAGTTAGTCAATTTAGTTTTGTTTGTTGTGATTGCAGTTTGTTACATCATAGTCTATTGTGTTATATTTTGTTTGAACCTTACTCAAATTTTGCTTGAATTGTTTTACGCTTAAAACTGTTATTTTTGTTTTTTAAAATAGCATTTTTTTTTTTGAATTTCTGTTGGTTGTACTGATTTTTGTTCTATTATGAAGGGAGACATCTTGGAAGACCCAGCAAATGAGCCTAAGAAGGACATGTACGTGCTGACCGTCGATCCTGAAGATGCACCTAATCAACCTGAGTAATTATCCAACACTCTCCATCTCCAAAATTTTTCTGTGCGGACTCCTGACATAGTTCTACGTGCCGCAGAGGTTATTTTTAAGTTATTTTCAGGTTATTTTTGGGTTATTTTCAATAACCCGCGGTCTTTATTTTTGGGTTATTTCTAGATTATTTCGGGATTATTGAAAATAATTCAGAAATAACCTGAAAATAATTCAGGAATAACCTCCGCGACACATAGAGCTACGTCAGGAGTCCAGACAGAAAATGTGTTCCTCCTTCCCAACTTTGGTTCCCTAATTTTATTTTATAGCTTACTACCAATGAAAATGTGTAATTTTGCTTCATACCACTCAATTCGTTCGCTCATTACACCCATGATTATGATTTCACCATGGTCAAAATCATATTCATCGATCTTCGTAGGTACCTTGAGATCGGCATCGTTTCCGGCATACCCGTCTCCGTCAACGGCAAGGAGCTCTCGCCGGCATCCCTTCTCTCTGAACTGAACGAGATCGGCGGGAGGCACGGAGTCGGCAGAATGGACATGGTTGAGAACCGGCTCGTCGGCATGAAGAGCCGCGGCGTCTACGAGACTCCCGGCGGCACCATTCTGCATGCTGCCGCCCGAGAACTAGAATCCCTAACGCTCGATCGAGAGACCATTCAAATGAAGGATATGATCGCTCTCAAGTACGCGGAGCTCGTGTACGCTGGCAGGTGGTTCGATCCGCTCCGAGAGTCGATGGATGCTTTCATGGAGAAGATAACGGAGACGACGACGGGTTCGGTTACGTTGAAGTTGTACAAGGGGTCTGTGACGGTGGCGTCGCGGCGGAGCCCGAACAGCTTGTATAGGGAGGACATCTCATCATTTGAGACGGGGAGTGTGTACAACCAGGCTGATGCAGCTGGCTTCATTCAGCTCTATGGGTTGCCTATAAGGGTGAGAGCAATGCTGGAGAAGGGTGTCTGAGGATCACTAGGATTTTGACGAATAAGATGAGTGCTTTGGTCCCCTCTTATTTTATTATTTTGGTGGAATTTTTTATTCGCAGGAGAGTTTTATTATTAAATGTTTTTGGTTTATGGCTTGATTGATATACTATTTGGTGAAATTAGTTGAATTTTGCTGTTGTAAACTAAGCATAATTGTTGTTTTATTTATTTTTTTTTGTTATTTATTTATGTATGAGAAAAAAAAAACATTTTTGGTTGGTGGGTTCAAATTAAATTGCAGTGATGTAAGGGTATGGAGAAAAATTTGTGTGTGCAAGACATACGCAACACAACACTGCTTACATCAGGGAGGTTATTCAGAGGGTATTTATCCACGTTATACCCCCTATAGCATCTCTGTAATTTACCTGTAATCTACCTATAACCTACAAATATATAAAAGCTGAAGCACAAAACTTGCTAGAAGGTATATGTAGGTTATAGGGATGTTACATAGAGTATAACGCAGATATAATTTTTCAATATCCTCTGAATAACCTCCTTGATGTACACAGCGCTGCGTACGGCTCACGTGCGCAAATTTTTCCAAGGATATTGATGAGCCAAAGTCAAGCAAGGTGGGTTTTGTTCGTTGGGTTGATTTGCTTGTCTTAGAATATAATGTAGGTATATTTCACGTTTATTCATCATTCATTTTAAGTAGTTAGAAGATATTTATTTTATTCAAAATGTATAAAAAATATATCTTTTAATTATTTTGTGTAATATATATTTTTATATAAATATTAGTTGAAATATATTTTATCAGACTAGAAAATGCATGCAGAATAACAAGCTATATTTAGATTGTCAAATTTAAAGCTTCTTGTTAATTTTTTTTTCTCCATTTTCATACATTTTTATGTAGCAGCACGCAATCAATAAGAAATAAAAAGATAATATGCATGGTAATAATAAATATTTATAAAACAAGAAAATATAATGAGGGACACTTATTTTTGTGGCATCTACATGCATATCACTCAATTCTTATGTATTTACATATCTAATGCTTAAAACTTATCTTTTATATTTGTACAAACAAAATCTTTGATATCAAATAGAAAGATAACCTTTTTTAACTTTTAAAGTGTGATTCGCCTTTGAACGTAAAAGTTGAAGTTTAGATGTTAGATTTCTAAATAGATAGAATTGAGTGGGAATGTACGTAAATCTCCCTAAATTTTGTACTTCTAAATAAGCCATGAAATTAGGATTTTTTGGTTGCTAGATGTGTGCCTGAAGATTCAGGACATTAGGCTGAATATTTATCGTCCTAACGTCATACGAAGATTCAACAAACACTCAAGTATTTAAAATAACAGACAGAGCTACCGAAAGATTTTACATGAGATACTTTGGAAATGTGAAAAAAATCACATGGTTAGAGAAGATGGAACTATAAAGTTGATGCAGATGATAATTCAACAATAATAGTCATAATGGGCCTCAAAGGATGTAATCGATTTTTATGGGGCAGTGGTCCATCATAAATGTTATAGATGTTGGCTGCAGAGCCAGTTTGTCGTACATGTTATAGTTGAAAGCCATGTTAGTAGTTGACAATGCAGGTTATAGATGATTGCTTCAAAAGTATTGGTTGACCATATGGTCCATAGTTTGGATCTGCAAGAGCTGTGAGCTATGTAGGATGTAGTTGTAGGCTGCAATAACATCCGTAGCTGTAGAGGCCGAAGTTGAGAGTTGCATGTGCTGTGAACCATGTAGGTTGTTGTTGGTCACATAATTCATAGCGGGGAGCTGTAATAATATTCATAGTTCATAGAGGTCAGAATTGGAAGCTGCATGAATTGTGATAATATTTGTAGGTCACAAAGGTTAGAGTTAGCAGTTGCATAAGTTGTGATAACATTTGTAGGTCGTAGAGATTGAAGTTGGAAGATGTGTAAGCTGATATAATATACGTAGGTTACAAAGGATGGAGTTGGGAGTTGCATGAGTTGAGATAACACCCGTAAACTGCAGAGCCCAGAGTTGGGTGATTCATGAGCTGTAGGCCATAGTTCTTCGTGCAGGTGATAATAGTGGACTACAAGGAGAGAGCCTTAAGAGTCCGGAGAGAGTCACTATATATTGAATACGACTAAGTAGATATTATGAGGTGTGTTGTTACACTATCTTTGAAAATTTTCATTGCACCATATATAGGACTCAACATTGCACCGTATGTGGGGCCCATCGTTGGACCAATGCTAGGGTGTCATTCCACTATCTTCAGGATGCATCATTGCATTGTTTTGTAGAGTATTTCATTACTTTGCAACTTGCGTTTGGATTTCATAGAACATGTCGTGATTCCGTAAGGGGCTTCATTGTAATAAGCAGGAGGCGGCTGACGACGGTCGATGACTAGAGAGCGGTGGTCTATGATGGTCAGCAATTGCAAAAGCTGGAAGCATTCGTTGCATCTTTGATATGGAATGACACTTGAATTCATCTCTTCTTTGAAGCACCGGGCTTCCTCCAGTTCAAGGCTTCCGTCCCATTTCATGATGGCGGTAGGGCTCTACTTGTAGAGTATGGGAGAGCCCTCCTTGCAAATAAAGAAGGAATTCAGACCACTTTGTTGAACGACCTAGAGAGATTCGCTAGATCAGACGATATTTTGTGGACATTTGAGTGTCTTAAAGTTATTGGTATTGAGTGCTCTTAGGCTCGTTGCTTAATTCGTCTCATTGAGACGCTCGATTTGACTATAAGCTTAATAGGTTTGAAATCCATTTGATTTTCCAATTGGACACCAAAAGCTTTCAAAAATGTTTTAATGACTCAATCTAGGCTTGATTTGACTCAAATTGGATCAATGTTGGTATCATTGTGTTCGTCTCATCAAGCCTTCCGTTTGACTGTAAGTTTGTAGAAATTAGAGTTTAGATGCTTTTTAATCGATGGTAGAACATTTCTAGTTAAAAAAATTGCCTCAAGATCTGTGTCACGACTCAAGATCCATGCCAAATGATGAAAAATTGTCAGTGGCATATCAAAGAAAAAACACTAAATTATTTGGCTAATTGGGCTACACAATGGTAATGATTGTCACTTCTAAGGCAAATTTATTTGAAGAAATTATCATCAACTTTGTGGTAAGAGTTTTTTCTCACTCTTAGTTCAAAAAATGAAGTATTACACTCCATAAATTACTCTTACCTTAATTAAAACTCCTTCATAATTACTTAATTAATTAATTTAATATGGTTAAATGAGTTTAAAATTATTTAATCGATGTATGTACAAATTTAAATTTAGTGGTATTAGATTTGTTTATGATCATAAAAAATATCGTATAAAGTTTGATAACTGTTTAATTAGTGCTCAATAATTTGCTCATTTGAGTTTTGATCAATGCATGATTATATGCTCATATGAGTTTTGCTATTATTTGTTTTTTATTTATTTATTTATTTATAAACACAAGCTAAATTACACCTTCATTAAAGTGTTATCTTATTAAATTGTATATTTAATTAAACTCTCATTTCTTAAGATTGCTCACCATAATACTCAACAAAACTTGCTTAGTTTAATCAACAAACTACTCAATAGTGATTCTCTTTAATATACTTCATAAGGTTCATTTAATTTGCCAATGAATTGAGCTCAAATCAAGCTCAAATAATTATCATAATTTAAACATACCAAGTATAAGCTTAAACTCCACCTTCAATAAAGTTTAGGCAAATATGTTTAAGCTCAATCAAGCTCCTACACTACTTAGTTCAAATATTTATTATATATACACACACTATCATAAATAAATCCATAGAATGATTCAATATTTCACTAATATCTTTATATATACTAACATCTTAAAAAATATATATATATATGAAAAAAAAAAGCTTGAATATCATTCTTAATGATATCAAGCTATATGTATCTTTAATCTATTGTCAAATAGAATTTGAGGCGAACGCCGCTTTATACACACATTGCTATCGACATAAAAATATTTCTAGATAATATTGGCATATGTAGTCAACACCTTGGTTTGGAATTTTTTTATTATTACCTCTTAGAGTTTATAGAATTTGCATAAATTATTGGCAATTTTACTCGTTTTCATCATTAATATCTTATATCCCATACAAGTCATCTTAGCATGTTGGTCGAGTGTCTAGTTTCAACGAAGAGGTCTTGCATATACGGTGTGCGCATGTTTGTGATTAAATTCACTCAAATTTCACGAAAAATAGTAATTAACATTATAGATTTGGCTTGTAAATATGAGACTATAGATTGAATCGCGTGACTTCAAATGAAAAACAAATGTATTATTTATCCAAACTATTAAGAAATGTTGTAGAAATTTAAAGTCCGTTCGAAAACATTTTTTTAATACTTTTTTATTTTTATTTTATTTTATTAACATTTCATTTGAAAATAAGATATAATTTGCATATTCAAATAAAATATGATTATTTTTAAAAATATTAAAAAATATTTTTTAATAGTTTTGGGTATTTTAAATAATAAACAAATATAAAATACCAAAACATACACTAAAGACACGTGTTTATTGTATAAATAAATAAAATAAATAAATAAATAAGAAGTAAAATAGCTCATGCAATACAATTTCATAACTTTTTCAAGACCTTTTGATTTTATTAGTAGTATTTGAACCAGCACATTGATGAAAGATACATACATGTGAAAATTTAAGGGATCAATAGAACCTATACTGAATATTTTTTAATCATAAATATATTATTATAAGCAATATTTACAAAAATGCTACACTAATTTCATATATTTACATATCAAACACCCAAAGTTTTGATATTTACACTAATAACACCATGATGTCATAAATCTATGCATAAAAAAGAAAAGGTGTATTTCACTTCTAAAAGATAATGATGATAATATTTTGATGTGATATTAAACATTTGAAATAAATGTGCATACTTTATATATTTTAATCCTTCATAACTCTTCAATAGAAAAACAGAATCAAAGGTCTTATGGTTAACAAAATTGCAATCAAACTATATTGTAAAAAACAAAAAAAATTTGCTAAGACAAAACAAAAAAGCAAGCCTCTCCAGCACAAAAACAAGCCCTGCTTGCACAGACAACCTTGTCATGCATGCCAAAGAGGCTCCTCCAACTTGTGGAAGAAAGACTAACTAAATCCAGATTATACAAACAATTTCTGTGACAATCTGGCGGCATGAGTTTGTTGCAGATGAAGAGCAGCCAACAGGCATCGCCATGTCTCCACGGGCCCGCCGGAGGCACGGAAGTCTAGCAGCTTTTTCTGCTGCCTGTAGTAATCTTCCAGTTGTTTCTTCTGAAGACAATGTATGTGCATGTGTTAGAGACAGTATGAAGGAAGATTTACATGCATATCACTTAATTCTTATGTATTTGCACGTCTTAACATCTAAACTTTAATTGTTACATATATATGCCGCCTTGTTTATGCACGAAAAAGGTGTGTTTTGTATTTCAATTTTTAAGAGTTGAAATAGTGGTTTAGGTGTTAGACATGTCAATACATAAAAATTGTATGTAAATGCCATAAAAATAAAATGAGAAAAGTGGATGATAAAATAAAGTGAAAGGGAAGTGTGAGAATTTAAATATACCTGAGTTTCAGCTAGAAACAGGACGTAATAATTCAGTCAATTAAAAAAAAAAAAGAAAATTTACATGTGTAGCACACACTTCATATGTAATATCTCACACCTAACCCTTCATATTTACATACAGAGTACATTGTTTCTTTAAACCTATGCATGTACCGGTGAATTTCTCTTTTAAGAAGCCGTAATAGTGCTATTTATTCATGTGATAGTAAAGATTTGAATGCTACGTGTGTAAATAAGAAGCTATAGGAGTAAGATATGTAAATAAATAAGAATTGTGAAAATATAACAGTGCTATTTATTCATGTGATAGTAAAGATTTGAATACTACGTGTGTAAATAAGAAGCTTTAGGAGTAAGATATGTAAATAAATGAGAATTGTGAAAATATAACTATCATAAGGTTCAATTTATATTCCTACTTAATATTAAGAAGTTTTCAAATTGGATTGATAATTTGGTAGATTTAGTTGACCAATACAATCTCAAATTCCCAAATAAAGAGGAAATTTCTGAAATGAAATTAGTGGAATATGCATGATGTCTTTGGTGTCGTATTATTGCTAAACCTACATGGGCCATATTATGAAATATAAATCTACATAAATAAAATCTATCAATCAATGAAAATCAAAATCGAGTGGATGATCAATTTATAATCATAAACAAAATTAACATAATGAATTTGAATATTATGTGAGATTTATAGGTCTTAGTGTTAAATATTATTTGCCTCTATACTATTATATATTATTATTATCCATTTCATTCAAGGCCATACACAAGATTAGATATGAATTAAGTCATGGCACTCCAAAGAAAACTACAATCATTTTATCATTAAATCATGTCATTTTGAAGAAACTATAATTCATAGCCATTCTATCGATAATATGTTAGAAGAAATAGATGAATTGTAATTTTAAATTTGTATATATATTAAAATATATTTATGAAACTAAATATACACTTAGACAAGAGCAAACAATCAACCCTATAATAGACATTGAGCAAGAAATCCAACTCATACTAAACATGAGATCACAATTTTGAGTATGAACCTGAACTTCCAATAAATGTTAAGTACATTCCCAAATATAAATCCAAATTTTATATCTGAATTGAATCAATTTATAAATGTAAAATTGAACAAGTTATGTCTAATATAATTAATGAATCAATAAATGATTTCCTTTTGAAGTATCATCAAACTTATTGCTAATTCAATTAATTTTGTTTTTTATTCAACTTTCTTGCATCACAAATCCATTTAAAAAAAAAAACCTTGGACAAAGGGTCACAATGAATAAATATATCATAGGATTTACTAGCCACGAATGCCATTAAAAAACCTAAAATGTGAATTCTATCATACAGTTAGACTTGAAAGTGCCTCGCTCATCATATTTATTATTTAAGCTAATTGGATTCGTTTTCTTTAGAGAATCCTACATCAGCATGTCATATTTTTGTGATTTATTTTTTCTATTAATTTACTTATCTCGATTTCACAATTTTTTATTTTTCAGATTTAATTTGTGGTGGCATGCCCATGAAGATCATGACTATGAGTACGTGATGTGTTCGATAATATTTTGATTCCCTTGATCAATTTGGTTTACTAGCTAGACTGCAAAATGATTTGATCTCTCATCGATTTCCCCAGTTCAATTGTTTATGATTCACTACTTTAGCAAGTTGGTCCTCTGCTTGTCAAAACATTTTCCCTCAAATTTCTCAAAGCATTTTCACTTTATGATGCTGAGCAAACTTTACAGCTTTTTTTTAAACAAAGAGCCTATCTAGTGTCTGAACAAAAATTAGTGGACTGCAAATACAATCTTTAACATATTTTTATGCACCTCATCCTAAAATTTTATTAGACAAACCCTATGACCTTTTTTGTTAGCCAAATTATACTGTAAAAGTTTAAACAACAGGGTTATCCATGTAGTTCAGCTTATAAAACCGACCTACAAGTTAAGGTAAACTACATTGATTATTTGTATTGATCAAAATTTAATTACTAGAACAACCAATATGGATTAATTGTAGCAAGCTGTATGCAGGACCTAGTCTAAATAGAGTAGGGCCTAACCTAGCTTAAAAGCACTAAATACTCAAAGATTAAATGGCCTAACCTAGCTTAAAAGCACTAAATACTCAAAGTCGAAATGTTGAATGAGCTGAACATATTTGATTATGATATTTGTTTGATTATGTGGGAAATACTTTTTTTAATTCAAAAGGCAACTTTCATTATGATAATAATGAAAATTACACAACAGATTGCACTCAGTAACAAAAAATTATACAATGCCCAAAAACAGGGGAGCGATAATGAAAAAAAAAAATCTCACAAAAAAACACAAAAAATAAGGACAATATTTTTAAGGTTCTAAACGTTATAATTTAAAATGATATATAAATGTCCCCATGAGTTTAGCCACATCGGTCTGAGCAAAATAATCAGACTATTATCAAAAGAAACCAATTTCAAAAGACTAGTTATCTAACATAGTTTACTTATGTAAATAAAAAAATAGCTGTGAAAAGATATTTCAAGATTAAATGCTTTTAAATAAGCATGTAAAGGAAATATATATTGCAAGGATTCAAATATTGTTCTCTACTTTAGGAAAAGCATTTTTTTTCCTTTACATGCTTATTTAAAAGCATTTAATATTGAAATATCTTTTCACAGCTATTTTTTTATTTACATAAGTAAACTATGTTAGATAACTAGACTTTTGAAATTGGTTTCTTTTGATAATAGTCTGATTATTTTGCTCAGACCGATGTGGCTAAACTCATGGGGACATTTATATATCATTTTAAATTATAACGTTTAGAACCTTAAAAATATTGTCCTTATTTTTTGTGTTTTTTTGTGAGATTTTTTTTTTCATTATTGCTCCCCTGTTTTTGGGCATTGTATAATTTTTTGTTACTGAGTGCAATCTGTTGTGTAATTTTCATTATTATCATAATGCATCTGCAATTTTTGGGAGAGTGAGATACCTGGATAGAATGCATCTGCAATTTTTCCAGACAAGATTTTTCCATGTCAAATGCTCCCGAATCATTCAGTTTGGAATGATTTGTACTACTTCCTAAACATGGATTGAGGCGGGTAGATTGAGAATTAAAAATATCAAATATCTTTCCACAGTGAGCACATACGTCATTTCCAATATGCTTTTTCACAAAAGAATCCTCTGAAGACTTGAAATTGACTACCAAGTCAACATCCGCAACCTGATCAAGGAGCTCCTGCAAAAAAATAGTAGAAATATTAGCACTAATCCTTTTCTGTTACAAGTAACATTTAGAAATGTATCATTATAAAAATATAGATCCCTGAAACCAAAAAATTCTGATTCAAGCGCAAAAAGAGTTAAACAAGAAAACAGATACCATGGATAGAAAATTCAGATGAGTCAAAAATTAATTCCGATTCCAAACCTCGCTAAGCCAAAAGGTCCTACTTCAGCTTATCCAAATAGTTATTAAGTTAAGCATAAAAGCACATCATCTCATTCCATCGCGGCAAAAAATTCAGCAAGACTTACATACATGCCACAAAATTAATATTTATTTACAACCTTAATACCTAAACATTGATATATATAATTTAAACCATTTTAACTATGCATTTAAAAGGTGAATTTTACTTTTTAAAAGTTAGAGATGGTGGCATTTTCTTATGTGATATAAAATATTGAGTGTTAAAAATGAAATCAAAGTATAAGTTTTAGCTATAAAAACTCATAAGAATTGTGTGGTATATACATAAATGCCCCAATTTATTACAAGCCAGAATGAAACAAAGATGTTGAGACCTACAGCTTGAGTGCAAGTTTTGGGAATTCCATCCAGAATGAATCCAGTCTCGCCTCTGTAATAACCTTCCTCAAGTCGTTTTGAAAGCAAACCAAAGATGACCTCCTCTGTAACAAGCTTCCCTTCATTTACAGAACTTGCAATCTTGCCAAGCAAAGGAAACATAAAATAAGCATAGAAATAAAAATCAAAGATAAGTAAACTAGAAAGGCAGAAGAAAAAAGGAAAATTTGCATACCCCTCAATACCTATGTATTTACATATCTAAAACCAAAAATTAAATTTTTACATATACACTACCTTTCATATGCATAAAAAGCTGTATTTTACTTCTTGAAAGTTCAAAAGTAGTATTGTTATGTGATATGAAAGATTGAGGTGGTATACATGTAAAAAGCAAAATTTTGGTGTTAGATATAACAATACATAGGAATTGCGTAGCATGTATGTAAATGCCACACGCCCTTTTATGGAATTTAGTTTTGAAGAATATAACAACACAATCGAGAAATTTCATTTCTAGTCAACATTTTTTTAATCATAAAAAACATTACAATCAACTTAACTGAAAAGAAAATAAAAAAAGCTCTTTAATTTTCAAAAATATTAAAAAATTTCATCTGAATGTTATCTTGAAAAGAAAATAACGCAGACTTGAGAAATTTATTCAATCTACTAGTTTTGAGCAGTCAAGAAACTTCACATGAAAGAATTTATACTATCTAGAGGGGAAGCCCTTTATTTCTAACAAATACAAGGGAATCTCACATTTGTTTCCAATTTACAAATTTGAGAAATTTATTCAATCTACTAGTTTTGAGCAGTTAAGAAACTTCACAAGAAAGAATTTATACTATCTAGAGGAGAAGCCCTTTATTGTTAACAAATACAAGGGAATCTCAAATTTGTTTCCAATTTACAAAGGCAGAGCATTCTAATACCCACTAAAACCAAGCGAAATGGTTATCAAATTACACAAAGCACGATGTACCGCATATTTTCAGCGAGAAAACCCCATAAATCTCTTATGAAAGACGAAATCTCTTATGAAAGAGGAAATCAAAAGTTAAGAGAGACACAAGAGAGAAGAGAGAGAGAAAGAACCTTTGTATAGAGAGAGGAATGTGGATTAAGTTCCTGGCGTACAAGGGTTCCCATCGAGATGTAGGGGACGTCGAGGAGCTTCGCGACGCGGGTGGCGTAATGTCGCTTCTGCGAGCTAGGGCTCCCCATAAACACCCACTGGACGCTCCTCTCCTTCATCTGCCCCCACGTATCCGCAGCTTCCTGCGGTTGCATCGGAGGCGATCTGTTGCCGAATCGTTCGTCGTCGTCCCACTCGCTATCGTAGACGGCCTCGACAGCCGCCGCGGAGCCAAACGACCGGCAGAGAGGAGTGGAAAAGATCCGGCGAGCAAGTAATCTCGCGGAGGCGAAGGCGCTCTGCGGACAGAGCATAACCATGGCGGCGGATTGTTGCAGTATTCTTGCGCTGGTGAATGGTGATTCACAGAAGAAGGGTTCGGCTTCTTCGTTCAAGAGAAAGCCAAGGGTTTTGGGGTTTGGAGAGCGTGCGGAGGAATATTCTTTCCTGGGGAGGAAGGGTGTGGATTATAAAGGGCTCGGTTGGCTATGCGGCAGTTTCTGCAGCGAAAGTTTCGGCTGCCATGGAGGCCCAATCGGCCCAGGCTGAAGAACGATTCTAACGACGAATTTTTCGGGCTAAGAAACTTTATTTAAATTTCATAAAATATTATTTAATCAATAAATTTGACTGATTCAACGACTAGATCTACATCTATTTGTTATAAATCCTATTTAAACATTTTTTTTTCATATTCAATTAAATTAATGCATGTGGTTGAATTTGTCAAAATATTTATTGGTTGATAATTTTTTCCTTGTTATAATAATGACGCACTTTATATGTGTAATACTAGAGAAAATTATGATGGGGTTCATTTCAAGGGGGTAATTGGTGGCGAATTTTTCCCTCCGGACGTCCGCATTCCATTTAAATTCCACCACGTGGAGTTACGGGTCCTGCATTTCCACATAATCAAAAAAAAGAAAAAAAAAACGCTACGCTGAAGCCCGACCCGACCCGATGTCCTGCGCCTTTTCGAGTATCCCATCTTTTAGAGCGTCGAGAAATACTTTTCGAAAATACATTTTAGGAATTTTTCATCTAGGGTTTTTCGACTAGGGTTTTCGTCGTTCGTTCGCTCTGCTAGGGTTTCACATTTCCTTCATTTGATAGCTTCAAAGTCGTAACATGATGGAGTTAGATGATTCAAAGAGTACGCAGGCCAAAGAGCCGTCAAGAACACAATCAAAAAAGGCAGAGATGACAGACGTTGAACAACCGACGAAGTCAAAGAAACAGAGGAAGAAGGAGGCAAAGAGGATGAAGAAGGAGAGCATTGAAGGGGAGAACTTGCCCTGGTAAGTGACATTTTATTTTCCTGTTATTTTTTTCGAATTATAAGTTATGCTTTGTCATTTAGTTATCTTAGAGGATATACGGTTTAGTGTTGAAGGTTTTGAGAGGTTTTTTCAGCTTATTTCTAGGTTCTTCATTGTTTATTAGGGAATTTATTCCTGGGTTATTGTTAGATTATTATTGGGTTATTCTTGCATTACTCCGAAGTTTAATATTTATTGGCAACCATTTGCTCATTCGCATGTTATTTTTAGGTTATTCGTGGGTTATTTATAGGTCATTTGTTGGGTTATTGCTCGGTTATTTTTAGTTTATTCGTCGGTTTTTCTGCAGTTTATTCCCTGTTAATTCTAGGTTATTCCCTGGTTATTTTAGATTATTCGTAAGTTATTTTTACGTTATTTGTGGGTTATTTTTAGGATATTTTTAGATTATTTTTAGTTTATTCCCAGATTATTTTTAGGTAATTTTTAGTTTATTTTAGGTTATTCGTGGGTTATTTTTACATTATTCATGAGTTATTTTAGGTTTTTCTTGGGTTATTTTCAGGTTACTTATCAGCTTTTCGCAGTTTATGCCCCGGTTATTTTTAGGTTATTTTTAGGATATTTTTAAGGTTATTTTTAGGTTATTTAGGAGGTATTTTCAGGTAATTCCTCGGTTTTTCTTAGGTTATTCGTCAGTTTTTTCGGAGTTTATTCCCTGGTTATTTTTAGGTTATTTTTTTGGTTATTCCTCTGTTATTCTTGATTGATTGATGAGTTAATGTCAATATTAATAAAATGTATCTTATTTCTATATGTTGATAAACAAATAGTCTATGAATTGTAGATGCTTTCCATCAACAGTAAGAGAAGTGTTGGACAAGCTTCGACCAATTGTCTCTTAGGAGACATGGTCAATTCTGGGAAAATTGAAGCTGAATCAGTTTTTTGGACCCCCTATCCTCAAGATCACATCTTAACTATGCATATATTGAATTGTTGGGATATTGATAGATTGACATTCAAAATGAGGGGGAAGGAGTTAAGTTTTGATGCAAAACAAGTTGCTTTGTTGATTGACATGCCTAACAGAGGACCAACAGCTTGGGAAAAAAACCCGTCAGTGGTGTAGATGTCAGGCAGGCAAAGAGTGAACTACTGAAGGGGTCACTCGGAGAGTCATCCACTTTACTTGATGAACTTATTATTAAATCTTTGTTGTCTAATTTATTATTTTCTACCAACAATTTTAGTGTACCCACATGGCTTTATTCATTTGCTGAGAATTTATATTCTTTTTCTTCATTTAATTAGGCTGCAATGGTATGTGACCACCTCATTGAGCAAGTTAATGCATGCGTCATCAAAATAAGGATGGGTCAACCATTGGGATACCTGAACGAATTTATTTTTCTTCTAACGGTTAGTATATTATCCAACCCCAGTCAATCAGTCAATAATTATTTTTTCTTATTTATTTTTTCTTATTTGGGTAATATGATTTCCTGATTTATTTATGTTTCCGCAGCTGTGGTTTTATGAATGCATAGTCGTGATAGCCCCAACTGTTCTTGATGTCAGACCTCGCCTGTTGAGGTGGCCAATAAATATAGGGTGGAACCCTACAAGGATCCATTCAGTCTTTCAGAGGCTTGACTATTGTACAGGTGAATAATATTAATTTTTGTTATAAGTTCAGGGTTATGTTTGGTAGTTTATATCATTTAGTTATTTGTTTTACTAAATGTACTTGCAGGTTCTTGATTCATTTGCTATTTAAGAGATGACGAGCACAATTTACTTGCCCCTCGAGTTGAGTGGATCTCCTCTCCTGCAAAGTCCATTCCAGAACCCGAAACACACACTGAACCACTAAGACTAGATTCTGACATTACTATCCCTTTTTTCCTAAGTCGTGGCACCCCGCAACCTACACATCCAAAGAGATATTCAGAGACCAATATGGGTTTAGCAGAGATCTGTAAAATTCTCAGGGAGCAACAAAAAAATTTATTTCAATTCAAATATTTTTTAAATAACATATTATATAAATTAGAGTATATGATGGTGGAGGTGAAGACTGACATCAAAGAAATAAGGAAAAGATTAAATAAAGAATCTCCTGTTGATTCTGAAATTGATGGGAAGAAAGAAAGCTCAGCAATGGAAGACAACCACCTGCTTATATGGAGTAAGCAGAGGAAGAACAGCTGATAGGACGAATGGCTGCATCTGATGAAACTGCGGTTGATATTGAAATTGGGCAAGAAATAAATAAAGGTGACGGGGAACATGGAAAGGAAGGTATTCATGAAGACCCTCTTAGTAGCTTAGTCCGAAGGATTAAGTCTAGAGGCACTAGAAAAAAGAAAGCAGTAGTTTCCCCCATCCATTGTAGTAAAAAGAAAGAAAACAATAATGACAGAAGATGAATTGTCGATTACCCAACCATCTCGTGAGATCGATGAAGCTGGGGAACATGAGGCGAAGATTAGTACAACAAAAGTGGCTGAAGAAAAGCAGGAGGAACAACAGGGAGCAATTGTTGGATTGGAAGGTGCCCTCCCTGGTGTTGTTCATGCAACACATTCAGTTGTGGACTCTTTAGCCATAGAGTTCCCTGGTAGAGAACTCATACCCCCACACATGCAAAACGTCATAGATGCCAGTTTGAAGAAATACCAAGATAAGTAAGTAAAGCTATTTTTTTTTGTCTACTGCCTCAGTCCTGTATTAAAGCTAATAAATATTATTTCATCAAAATGCAGAGATGACATAATAATTGCTTTGGTTCATATTCATATAAGTCGAATGTGCATTGAAGCACTTTGGAATAATCAAGAAGTGGGCATAAAATATATTGATATGTTTGTCATTGGATTGAAGAATAGAAGGCGTCAATCACCTGATTCTTTCAGACCCTTTTTATACGTCTGTCGGCACTATTTTTGGTGTGGGGTTTGCCCATAAGAAACTGTCGGTCATCAGAATGTAAATCCCGTTGCCCGCTTCGTAAGGACGTTAAAAATTTTAATTTTGAAAAAGATGAAGTCAAACTGACCCCATAATTTTCATAGTTTAAATGAAAGAGCGATTTACCTCAAATCCTGTATCTATCCCGAAGGATGAACACAAGAATTGA